CGGCCATTGCGGTGTGAATTATTTTGTTATTAAAACAATATTTTTGAATCCGATGCAACCTGATGCAGTCTGATGCGATCCAATGCGGTTGTGTTGCGGCGCATCATTGTGATTCGAGTCACACTGTAATTGCGGTGTGATGCGGACCGCAACCGCAATATTGTGGCCGCATCAGGTGATGCGGTCCACAATTTAAATCACTGGTGTCATATATCAGTTTCGGCTTATTGTGTACCACATACTATATTCCTTATTAAATAAGTCTTATAATAATAATAATAATGTATAAGGTGACAAATCGCATAGAACTGGATACTGTGTATTGGAACTGGTGCCACGAACCATGTAACTATGCTCGAACACGGTTGACCAATCTTCAATTCAACTCACCATGCATGAAAAAAATTGCCATGTCGCGAAATCCTGATTTGGTCGATCATGTTTCAGATCAATCGAATGTCACCAAAATCATTTAAGTCCAAAGAGTAGAGAATTCAAATCTATATTCACCATGCCTTTTCTTGCAGTTTATTGTGGTTGTAACATATGACTATATGTTTCATATATGAATAGGAATAAATGCGTTAGAGAGAAAGTTGGGGTAACACATATTGAAAAGATCGTACAATCTTGCCTTATGAGGTTTGAGCCTGTGTGAAGAAGACCTCTAGAATCCCAAATAAAGAGAGTAGAATTAACTAAGATCGACCGTAGCCTAGTAGGTGTAGAGACAGAGAGAGAGACCAAGAAAAAAATTAGGTAAAAACATTAAGAAGGATTTCAATTGTTTGAATACGAACATGATTTAATATAGAACATTACGACATCGTTTTTTCCATATAACCGACTTTATCTTGTAGGAAAATGCTTGGTTGTTGTTGTTGTGTAACGAGGCTGCCTATAACACAGATAGTGATCCAATGTGTATATATTTCAGAAAATTGCTTAGATGTAGTGAGATTTAGTATATTATGTGCTTACATTTAGAAGAAGAAATAAAAGCAAAGATAATATTGGTGGAAAACTGTAACAATAGATATGAACACATTCCAATGATTGAGAGTATCATTTCCTATTTGATACCTTTCAATTCCTTATCCAAAGTTGCGATCGAATCGATTCAATACATTTCTTATGTACCCATAGGTGCTATATTGGATTTGAATCAAATTTCGGATCAATCTATATTGATTGACTGCCTCCATTATGTTGTTGCTAGCAAATACCACTATTTTTGGTTTTGGATCTTCCGAATCATTCCCGCAAGAGGTCCGGACCCAGTGGAACTGTAAAAATAGAATAGAAGGAAGAAGTGGAATTGAGCCCATGGAGGGAAGGAAGGGTAACCTAGAGAGAGGAGTCCAAAGATGTCCAAATTCTTCACCCCTTTCTACTTCTATATTCTGATATATATCCCCATTTCTTGTAACTTACTTTAATCCTTTCCAGTGACTTATTTATTTTCCTTACAATTCACCCTTTTCCCATTGATCTCATGACATGTTGTATATGTTTCATATCTGTTTATGCAGAAATTTTTATGCACTCTAAGATTATTATACTTGGTTTGATTAAATTTAAAATACTATATAACACGTTTTATGTCAAATGTTAACCCTTTAGAGTATTACTGCTAGATTACCTTAGAATATTTCCTGTATATGGCTCTCTGATTGAATCTGACAAGTATCTTTGATGTTTTTACAGGTTGGGCATCTTGGAGAAGCTTATGACGATTGGGTTCACCAGCCTATTGTGAGCAAAGAAGGCCCTCGTTTTTTTGAAAGCAGTATCTTGGAGGTATAGAGCACTGATACACATGTAAATTATATAGAGCACTGCTATTTAGCATGAATGAATTGACTACAAGATAAGGGTATGCATACTTTACATGAGTGGTCAACGAAAAATGTAATTTTGAAAGTAACTTCACATATTTTACTAGTCAACCACTTCATAAGAATCTCGGGGACATGTTTCTATGAACAATAATGATGCCTGAACATTAGAATTTGGAGACCAGAATCATGTTTTCTTTTGAGATTTGCAACTGAAGATGTATAAAGAGTGAAGAATGTATGTGAGAGAATGTAATAGTTCTTCGCAGCGTCTGAGAAAGATGTGAAGTTCTTATGTTGGAATAATGAGTCTTTCATGAAAACATCATTTTCCTATTGTAAAGGTTTCTAAAAGTTTTTATTATAATTGAAAAGCTTCTCTCAGCTTTGTTCTTGACTTGTTGCCACTTGGAACAGTTCTTCACACGCACTGTGTGGTGGGTGATTCCGGTTGTTTGGGTGCCAGTTGCAAGTTGGTTTATTTCTAGCTCTGTACGGATGGGCCTCGCTTGTCCTCAAGTAGCTTCATCCGTGGTTATTGGCATTTTCGTTTGGACGTTCGCGGAATACATGTTGCACCGTTTTCTTTTCCATGTTAAAACAAAGAGCTATTGGTTAGATTTCTGTTCTACTTTTACCTGATGTGAAGTCATTACATATTCTTGCCTCTCTTCTCTACACCATTAGAGATTCTTAAGTACTCCAAGGTGTATTATCATTTAGCATGTAACATATAAGTTATAGTGTTAAAAAGGTAATTGTACTAAGATAATTATATCTTGCATAACTAAGGTGTTGCACAATAAATAATACATAACAAGAAATTTATTTATTCTCAAGCAGTTAAGAATTTGCTATGAAACAATATGTTAAGTTCTACATGTATTTGTCTTTGATCATATCTACTTTGGTTAACTACTTATCAATTTGAATATCGCCGGAAACTATGTTTATTTATTTTAATGCTTTACTGTTGAATTAGGGGGAATACTTTGCATTATCTTCTCCATGGCTGCCACCATAAGCACCCCATGGATGGCCTGAGACTTGTTTTCCCCCCAGCAGCAGCCGCTATATTAGCTACTCCGGTATGTATATTCTATTACATTGTACTATTTAATGCATTTTCGTACCTTTATTACCTCTAATAAAGAACGACTTAGAGATCAATGCTTAATTAATAACATGAATTGTGATAGAGCATTATGGCGTCTTTCGATCCATATAGCCGACCCTACCTAGTGAGATAAAGGTTTGGTTGTTGTTGTATTACCTCTGTACCAAACTATAAATGGGTTTCAAATATTATAATTTATGATAAGAGGTTCCATAAATTGATGTTAATGTTTTTGTCTTCCATATCCAGATCTGGAACTTAGTGAAGCTTATATGCACCCCTTCATATGCTCCTGCCATCTTTGGAGGTATTTTATTGGGCTATGTAATGTATGATTGCACTCACTACTACTTACATCATGGTCAACCAAAGACTAATATGCCCAAAAATCTTAAGGTAAATACACTTCCCTTCCTTCAATAGTGGATGGAAATAAAATTAAATCACAATTCTTATAGTTAAGAAATAAATTTATAGTTGCATAATTTACTATACCTGATGTATTAGTTGATCAAATATGTTAGTCTTTTGGTATTTATGAATATCTTATGTGGTTAAAGGACATTAAACTCATGTGTGATTGTGTGAATGTTGAGTCATTCTTTTTTCAGTTTACTTATGAGTCTCTTAAACATTGGTCCCAAACGGTGTTTTAAATTGCGGTTGCAGTCCCAATTGTGGTCACAGTTGCGGTTACTGCGATTGCGGTCATTGCTGCAGTTGTGACTTGTGATGCAGATTGCGGTCGTTGCAGTGTGAATTATTCTGTGATTAAAAAATGTTTTTGAATTCGATGCAATCTGATGAAGCCCAGTTGTGGTCCTACGCAGTTGCGCTACGGTCCGATGTGACCGCATTATTGTGATTTGATGTCACACCGCAATTGCTATGTGATGCGGTTGCGGCGGTTACCCCAACCGCAATCTTGCGGCCGCATCACGTGATGTGGTCCGCAATTTGAATCACTGGTCCCAAAACATGATACTATTCTTGTCTCAACTCTTTTATAGAGATTTGGATGTTCTCATTTTCCCTTGGGAATAAAATTATCATTTTGAGAAAGACAAACAGCAGAACAGAACATGATGTTTGTGTCTTTTTTTTCTTTTCTAAACATGACATTGTCATATTCTTGTTATGTTGCACCTGTCTGTATGATATTAGCAATTATCTAAATCCTATAAGCTACAAAAGGCAAATAATCTTGCCTTCCATATTTTGCAGAAATACCACTTGAATCATCACTACAGGCTTTGGAATTATGGCTTTGGAATCACTTCACCGCTGTGGGATTTTGTTTTCGGAACGGTTCCTCCTCCATCAAAGGCGGCGGATACCAAACGTAAATAATTCACTGTCAATGGTTTCATTTTGTCATTCATTAAGAATTAAGATTGTAGCAAAATCAGAAAGTTCAGACAAAATATATCAAGAATTTATGCTTTTTGATGTTGTCTAATTTATTTTGCTTCTCAACTTGATGTTTCTGAGGTTAATCTTGTGTCAAACATCCTGTAAAGTTTTGATGATATGTATCAAATTTATGGCAGAACACTCTCCTAAGTTTGCTTAGTCCATTCTGATGTAGCTTTACTTGGCTTGAGTATAGATTAACTTAAACTTTCAAATAAATCAAGAGATACAATTACCTTAATTCCATGATAGGCAATAGAATAATGCTACTTGCCCAATTATTTTGTTTTATAGATGCACATAACTACATTTTTGGCAAAAGTGGTGTCCTTAATTAGGAGAATTTCTTGTTTTTGGCAAAAGTGGTGTCCTTAATTAGGAGAATTTCTTGTTTTTGGCAAAAGTGGTGTCCTTAATTAGGATAATTTCTTATTTTTTTTTGGCAAAAGTGGTGTCTGTCTTCAACTCTTTGACAACATGAAAAAACCAAAAGCTCTGCCCCCCTCTCCACCTATCCAAGGGACGGAAGGGCAGAGATCTTTGGTGACCCCTCCGGTCAAGAATTAAGGCCTCGCAATGAATAGTCAATATGTTTTTTTTATCTCATGTCTTTATTCGTTCGTGGTTCGATATTCTGGCATAGAGGAACCACACCAATCCACCCCGAACTTGGTTGTTAAACTCTATTGCGGTGATGATACTGTAGGGGAGATCCTGCAGAAAAATAGCTCAGCGCCAGGATGATAAAAAGCTTATTAACACCTCTCATTCTTATTATTATTTTTTCAATATGAAAAAAGTTCAAAGAGCGAAAACCTTAGTTATGTCAAAACCCAAACTTCTGTCAAAACCTGTTACAGCTCAGTCATTGCTTTACCCAACCATTCCAACATACAGATAGTAACTTACTAAAAGTTTTTAATATACATATTTTCCACAAAATTAACACTTATTCTTATTTATTTCTATGCTATTAGGAAGATGAAACTCAGATTTTAGAATCTGATTATGATATTTGTACAAGTACAACACCCCTTTATTCAGATAAAAAAAAATCTGTATCCAACTCATACAACTTTCTTTTTGTCAAAATCAATGGTGCATGCTACTAGAATCAAATTTGTAATTATATGTAACATTAATCATCATTAATACAATGTCAAAATAATTCAATGATAAAATAATTTTTTTAACAATTACTTAGTAAGTTATATTATTTGTTCTTAGACTACTGCATTCATGATGAGCTTTTTCTGAACAGCATCAACAATGAGTTTGAGTGATTCTTCTAAATCATCACATAGGATATAAGGATCTTGAATGACACTGGGGTCCACTGATACAGAAATAGTCATCTTATTAGCATAACTTTGGAAATGGAAGGTCAGTGCCTGAAAAAGAAATCAAATACTTAATGCATTACTTTTCTGATCTGCTATGGTTTACTGTGATTTGGTGTGTTTGGACTATAACGAATGATGTAATATTTAAGGGGCGAAATTTTAGTTATATCGAAATTATGGATATTATTCAAATTAAATCTTGGGTTTGACTTACAAATATTGTTGGTTGTAATTCATTATATTTTGCACAATGGTGTATTGATCCTATTATTTATATGAACCTGTGCTGCAAGTTGTAATCGGGTTGACCCCTTGTGTCTTTTTAATATTTTTGCTTATAAAAAAAAAAACTTCACTGGTTTGTGCTAAATCTTTAATAACCTAGCAAGTTACAAAATGCATGTTGGTAGTAGGTAACAAGGTTTTAAATCACGATCTGTGAGAGTGCCGCAGAACTTTGATAACGTAAAGGTTTTGAAAGTCATTGAAACCATATCGTAACTACAATTGTGAACTTTGATAACGTAAAGGTTTTGAAAGTCATTGAAACCATATCGTAACTACAATTGTGGTTACTTCGGCCACATATGCCCACTATTGTTAGAAACATCAATGTTTTGGTAGTGTTTGAAATCGCGACTGCGACCTCTATTTAAAACCTCGGTAGGTAATAACTTACTTGTGGGTGCCCATATACACTAGGGGCAATGTATGCCACAGGATGACCATAGAAGCCAATTTCTTCAACTGGACCAAGCACATTAGAGAAGGCCACAGTGGTATTGTAGAGAACTCTTCTTGTTATGGCTGCAGCTAGCTACAGATTAAAAAATGCAAGGTAACTACTATAAACAATGTAGCTCTTTGTTATTGTGATTGCAATGACAATACTAAGATAATTATTCTGATCAATGTGATCATATGTAGACACTGCAGAAACTGACATTGCAGCCTGATTACGTGAAATTATTAGTTGGTCTAAGTCATCACGTGATCTCGATCAATAATAATCTGACACGTAATAAAATATAGTTACAATGTAAGTGAGACAAAATGAAAGGGTGATTATTTCTATTAAGTGTCTGATTACTATCGGTCTAGACCACGAATGACGTTTTCGGATCAACTAATTATTGTTACACAATTGCGATTGCAAATGACCCTCTCAGTGTATGTATATATATACCTTGACTCCAAATAAATTGAGTATGAATTTTGTACAAACATGAGTGCAAATAGCTTCCAATGAGTGCTTCTTTCTGTCAACTGTGGCCTTAGCTTGATGAATATATTGCAATGGATCTTCTTGTATAGCAATGGAAAGAGGAAGGACTATACATCCTAACCCATTGCCCCATTTGGTTTTTGATTTCTCAGCCATCATATCAGCCAGATCCTAATAATTAGCATAAAATGCAAGCAACTAGGTAACTACTTGTGAAATATTTTCAGATATATAATGAAAAGATAGATTAGTATATTAAAGTGGAATCACTACTTTAATTAGAACTACTTCATAACAGATAGACATATATATTGCATTAAGTATATCAGCTATACTTAGAAAACATCTTGTTATGAATATGCATTTTCTTCATGCAATATAAATATATATATATATATATATATATATATATATATATATATCTTAAGGTTCCATCTTAAAACCAATTGCCTATGAGAGGAGTAACTCAACAGGTATTTAAACCATTCCCGAGACAATGAGGTAGGCAATGTGAGACTTACTTCCCGACATACCCCCTCCAGATAAGCCCGTCGGACCAGACGAAGGGTTACCTTTGACCTATAACTAGATGGCATCTTTTGGCCCATGACAATCGAAAAGAAGTTGGGCTCTGGCTCTGATACCATGTTAAGGTTTCGTCTCAAAACCAATTGGCTATCAGAGGAGTAACCGAACAGGTATTTAAACCATTCCCGAGACAATGAGGTAGGCGATGTGGGACTTACTTCCCAACATATATAAAATGAAGTATTGTATTATCCATAAGAGAGTGTTAATTTGGAAACCAAATTCACCTGGATTCCTGCAACTGGTCTAATGTTAACAAGAACCGATGCTCTAAGCCGAATGTTCTTCGCGACACTATATCTCTGTTTCTCAGCACCAGCATTTGCATCCACACCTGAATGGAGGACAATGAGGAAAAACAAAGTCATTGAAAAACACTTATTTTGTGTTTAATATTACTTCTTCATATAAATGAGTTGCAAATAGCAACATTTTGGTAGGTTTATACAAGTTCAAGAGAGATGTAGCAGTTTAACTATTGCATGAAAATCATAACTTTGAAGATTTTATTGTATTGAGTACATAAATTTTTTCTGAGACAAAACATGAACTTTGGTAATCCTTAATTAGTGCCCTGTAAAGAAATAGAAACTTACCGCATTCCCGATTCAAGTAGCGACTGAGACCAGCTTGTGTTACCCCGAACAAAACATCATTGATAGTCTAATTGATATACATTATTCATCATTTATATGTTAGTAACTATTGACTCTTCAGAAAAAATTAATACACACGAATTGCGATCGTGCTCAAACATTAGAAAAAACTTTATACCCAGAACTGAAGTTACCATTTTCATTTCGTCTTTCACAAGCTTTATATGTTCCATACTCACTGTCCGATGTATGAAGCGCTTGGTATTAAGCTCAACTCCTGGTGCACCTTTTAAAGGAGTCCATGTGTCTTTGATGAAAAATATGGACAAAACAAATAGCACCAAGTCCACCAAAGTGTGCCAAATCAGAACCAAGCCCCACCAAATAGCCAATAAGAGCGACCAAAATCGAGAAATTATTACATGGTTCGGGATCAAACTGTCATTGTCTGGCATGACTCTCTTTTTGCATGGCATTGTTGGTAATGCATGAGGGTCCGATATTTTGCGAGTTGAAGCAAGGAGGAGTGACATGAGAGAAGCACCATCTCCCATAGAATGATGAATCCGGAAAATCGCAACTGCTTCTGCATCAGAGGTTTTGATGTTAAGGAGATGCAGTTCCCATAGTGGCTTGGAAAGGTCTAATGGGGTTTTGGTAATGTTGGATATATAGTCTTCAACAAATCTATCTGGGAACTCTACTTTGGTGTCTATTTCAGCAACTATGACATGGTTGTCTATGTTAACTGTTGTTTTTTTCCATCTACTTTTTCTTCCCTTCTTAACCTGAAGAAGTTCCAAATGGAAGATCAATGAATCATGGTTCGTGATTACAATTGCGATCGCATTATTGTGTTTTACAAGTTTCTACAACAATATTACTATAATAATTGCATCACATTTTTCTGCAATCTGATAAATGCAACAAAATCTTGACACTACAATGAATGTGTGTATGTTTAATGAATATATCTTATAATGTGACTCACATCATGTGAGCATGCTTGAAATATATTCATGTGGGTGCAAGAATTTTGTCCATGACTATATGGTGATGCTATATTTGTCCTATTAACTTTATTTTATTCTTCACATGCTTAGAGTAAACATAAAAATAATGTTAAGGTTGTTGTTTTTTTGACTCAAATGCCATGAGTTCAATCACGGGAAATAGTTTATCCGCTTGTGTGAATCTACACTTCTCAGACTTCGCAATGTGAGTCTCGCGCACAATATTATCCTAATTTTTTCACCTATAATCAACGACAACTCCAACCATCGCCAAAACGACCACCATTAGGAGCCCTCTATGATGATTTTTCCAACCATAATCCCAAACAACCACTCTAGCGGTCATTGGCAACAACTTCGGCCATCAACCACCACCAGCTTCATAACCCTCTTTCGATTCTGAACTCTTCCTACCTTGGATTATGTTCTAGATTTTCTGGTTTACTCAAGGTCCATATTTCTTCCTTCTTCAAATAAGGATGTTGAAGTCATGATTTGGATGGCTGTTTCCTAGTTTTTGTGGCTTATGCATAACTCTTCCTTCTTCAAAGGATTATACATTGTTTCAAATTGTGGACCAGATCAGGTGATGCGGCTGCAATATTGCAATGCAATGACTGCCACAAACGCATCACGCTGCAATTGCGATGTGCCATCGAATTACAGTGATGTGGTTGAGTCGGCCACAACACAACCACATCAGATCACATTTGGGCCGCATCGGACCGTATCAAACTCACAAATATTTTTTAATAACAAAAACATTTACACCACAATGACCGCAATTACAGTAACCGCAACCACAATTTAAAACACATGGATTATATATGGGGTGATTTGGGGATTTAAGCTGTTTTATATGCCATAAATTATGTATAACATTTAGTAAGTAGATTTTCATATAATGCATGACTAAAATGTAGAGCATGTTTTTTTAACTTACTCCTAGAGTAACCAGATCCCGAAAATAA